TACCCTCGTCTGCAACCATCCAGGGAGGTACTACCCTAGTCTGCAACCATCCAGGGAGGTACTATCCTCGTCTGCAACCATCCAGGGAGGTACTACCCTAGTCTGCAACCATCCAGGGAGGTGCTACCCTCCTCTGCAACCATCCAGGGAGGTACTACCCTAGTCTGCAACCATCCAGGGAGGTACTACCCTCGTCTGCAACCATCCAGAAAGGTATTACCCTCGTTTGCCGAGTGTGAGAGAATTAGCAAGTGGTTTGATAACATCTTTCCCGGAAGGTATTACCTGCCCACCTACCTGGGCGGTGTTCCGGGGGGTCAACGCCCCCGCGGCCCAGTCCTTGACCAGGCCTCTCGGTGGCTCAGAGCCTGATCAACCAGGATGTTACTGCTGGCCGCACTTAGTCGAAGCCCATGATGACACTCTTCAGGTCACTTGTTCTATCTAGGCTGGAATATTGCTGCACACTAACAGCACCTTTCAAGGCAGGTGAAATTGCCGACCTAGAAAATGTACAGAGAACTTTCACGGCGCGCATAACGGAGATAAAACACCTCAATTATTGGGAGCGCTTGAGGTTCCTAAACCTGTATTCCCTGGAACGCAGGAGGGAGAGATACATGATTATATACACCTGGAAAATCCTAGAGGGACTAGTACCGAACTTGCACACGAAAATCACTCACTACGAAAGCAAAAGACTTGGCAGACGATGCACCATCCCCCCAATGAAAAGCAGGGGTGTCACTAGCACGTTAAGAGACCATACAATAAGTGTCAGGGGCCCGAGACTGTTCAACTGCCTCCCAGCACACATAAGGGGGATTACCAACAGACCCCTGGCAGTCTTCAAGCTGGCACTGGACAAGCACCTAAAGTCAGTTCCTGATCAGCCGGGCTGTGGCTCGTACGTTGGTTTGCGTGCAGCCAGCAGCAACAACCTGGTTGATCAGGCTCTGATCCACCAGGCCGCCTGGTCACAGACCGGGCCGCGGGGGCGTTGACCCCCGGAACTCTCTCCAGGTAAACGTACGAAGAACAGCCTGGCTGATCGGGTACTGACTACGGTGTTCCGTAGCTCTATCGCTAGCACACACAGCTCACATACTGTGGTTCGGGGATCGATCCCCAAGTACTGCTGGAAAACATTATGACGTGTTTCCATAAGACACCTGCTGTCCATGTTCACTCAATAAAATGGGTACCTAGGTGTTAATCGCCTGGTGTGGGTCGCATCCTGGGACAAAATTTACCTAATTTGCCCGAAATGCTCTACATAGCAAGGGGCTTTTTATATAACAGTAAGTCATTGATGTCAGCTAGGCATACCTTGTGCATGTAGAAATAAAGATATATTACCTCTCCAGCTCCGTCTTGAAGGCAGCCATGGGTACTACATTCATTTTGTCAAGAGTATGAAATAGATGACTTAATGTTTTCCACTTTGATAGGACTGATGGTCTCTTCTCAGTTTCGTATACCTGTGACATTTATGACCGATTTCGAGTGCTCTTCTCTCACAGCTAGGCGTGAGGCCAGGCTTTCTTGTTGGCCACCTGATCATCCAGGCGGTTGATGCTAGAGATTCAGAGACCCACACAACTAGCACAACTTAGCTGGTCAAACACTTGCAGGTGATCAGTGTTCCAATTTCCTCTTGAAAATGTCTAACTTTGTTCTAGCAATATTCCCGATATTTGCTATTAGCAAGTTGAAGAGTCTCGAGGCACTGATGCTGACATAGTGCTTTCTTGAACTCAAGACACCGCTGGTTTCCACTGGGTTGAATCTACTCCCATCTCTCACTCCAGTGTGCCACGCTCTCAAGTTTCTCATTCATATATTATTAGGTACCTCTCTTCTCCCTCCCAGGGAAACAGCAACCTACAACTTGATTTAGGTTGGCCGCCGTGCCTCCAAGTTGTTTAACAGACTGATGGATCAGTTTTTGGAACGAAGCGGGCGGGTTCCTCATTACAAAGCAGGTCACAGTACATTGATAATGACCTCCTGGAATTTTGAAGACTGAATTTTTTTTTTCCTCTTTAAATTCATCTGCTTTAAACATTTCTTTCATGATCCCGGCTGCTTTACCCCTTTTCGTTTTATCCAACTCTCCATCCAATAACTCTCCTCTCCTATTTTTAACTGTCAAATCCATTCGTTCCCTAGGCTTTCTTAACTTATTGCAAGGCTTAGACACACATTCAAGTGTTCAGGTAAATGATACAAATTTCAACTTCCATTTAGTCAACATTCGTTTGCTTTCCTGTGTCTGTTGATCCACAGCCTTCCCAATATGTGATACTTGGTCTGAGACTGGGCTTCGATGTAGTCAGGATCAGATACCTTAAGCTCACTAGTCTTTACTGGAAAATTAAAGTAAGTAACAATTATAATTATTCCCTTAGCGGCCACATGATTGTGTATGTGTAGATTTTTTTAACCAGAAGGAATAAAAAAACATATTCACCATCATTCATTAAATAGCAATCTTGTCCAAGTGTGGAGACATCACAAATCAATATACTGAGTATACTTATTTCTTTTTCGGTTCCTCTTGTGTTTCCATTCTTTCCCTTCCCCTCTCTTCCTACCTCCTCTTCCTCACCCTCTTTCTAGATGTTTCTGTTTTTACCTCCCCCTCCCTCATATTTTGTCAGCTAATATCTGTCAATATAACACTGATTCTCTCTCTCTCTCTCTCTCGTAACCTGTGTCCCCCCCCCCCATTACTTTCATCATTTTACGTATGGTTACCATTCTTCCTCCTCCTCCTCGTCACAGTCTTCCTGTTTACTTCCACCACTCTCTTGTCTCCTTCCCCTCTTTGCAAGCACACTTCTAATCCATCTTCCTCCCAGCATACTGGCCCCAATACAATTAATTCAATCTGCATTTGTAGTCACAGTGGGACCCATGCTAACCTTCCTAGTGTAGAAATAAATCTAGCTGGATGAATCTTACTTGGCTGGAATGGCACAATGGATAGTGCATTGCCCTGCTAGATTTAGCACTGGCTTGCCATGGAGCTCGACTTCCCTTCCGTTTAATGAGCTGTTTACAATTGCATCATTATGATTTCGTTAGTCATGCGGGCAATAAACTGTCTTGATCACAGAATCCTGGCAGCAGAGATGCAAGGTTGACGGGTATGACAATGTAACCCTGCAGCATGGATCCTCACTTGACAGGGGTGACATCAATGAACCCACCACCTGGAATGTTCCTTGGTATACGAACGTCAACAAGAATATTAAGACATATCTATGCCGCTCCATGTCCAAAGCTAGTTCTGTAGGTACGTAATCCTCTTGATGGAAACGAAAAAATCCCTGAATATGAGCAAAAGCTACAATGTTCTAACTACACCAGCACATAACACAATTCTTTTTTTCAGAGTTCGCTGTGTATCGCAGCCTAGTCGATCATTTCTATATTCAGACTTCTAATGGTCAAAAGTTTTAATATTTTTATTTTTCCTTTCCTGTACATTATTCTTAAATGCAAGTAAATAAAAACACAAAAGATACCAATATTAATAAGCTATGCTAGGCTATATATACTTACAATTTTTGTTTAAAATTATTTAACTTTTATACGTCTTTGCAAACCGAAACCTAGTCAAACATAATATGGCCAATATAATTCAAAAGATTATTTATCTAAACGTAAACTTATAAAGTAAAGGGTTTCGCAATTGTATTTAAGCATGAAAAACAGACCGAGAATGTAGAAAGAAACGAAGAATAAAAAGGCACAATGCCGTGACTGGAACAATACACGAATAACACGAACATAGGAGAATGAAACTTGTAACGAAACTTTCTCTCAAGTTCCAGTCATCCTATGTGCAGAGCAAGTTGCAATGTAAACTTGATTCATTCTTATTAAGTAGAATGCCTATACCCCAAGTAGGCTAACATTAATATATGGCTTTCGAAAGATCAATAGTTTTGGAAGGTTAATAGACTAAGCTAAACCATGAAAGTCGAGCCATGTGGTTATTTCCCTAATCTATTTATTTCTAGGTAAACAGAAGCAGCGAGATCGAGGACAACGACAGGGTAATAAGACACTGTGCAGGAGCAAACCTTCGTTATTAGTAATGACTTGATAAGGTTCTACAGAGTGGCACGTTGTCAACCATACTGGATGGCAATATCTGCCATCATACACAAGGAGAGCAGTCCACACGTTCCGCTTCGCCTGTGATTTGAACCCGAGTCCTTTCGGTTGTGAAGCTAAGGACCTAAAACCAGGAATCGATTGGAGAGGACACGGCTCGCAATGGGGCGTTTACTCCCTAAATGTCCAGCAAGGTCGGCAATTTATTGGCACACCAGGAGGCACTGGTAAAGATAATCCAAAAAACTGCCTTAGAAAAAGAAACACTTCAGTAGGCCTATTAGACCAAATGAAATAGGTCCTACTCCCTAACATGATTTTTAAAGCTTTCTAGAAAGTGTCTTTAATAATGATGATATATAGGTAACACAAAAGCACTGTAATAGGCCTATTGGCCAAGCTAGCCAACTCCTCGCACCCACCCATTCCCACGTATGTCTACCCTATCTGTAAGCTACTTATCTGTATTTCTATTGCGAAACCCATTTTTTGTGTATCTTATACAAGTCTATTCATTTCGAATTTATTTTTGCGAATTCCGTCTTGCTTTGACATTTTCATCACATTATCTGTAACTCGTAAATTTTATCCAGACACTTTTTATGCTGTGTAATTCTCGTTTCCACTTTACTCCGACATAAAATACAAAAAAAAATCTGTACCAGAACAGTGTCGTGCTGGGGAAAAAAATAGTCTAACATGATCCAACACAAAAAAAAAAAACCTTGAAAACTGGACTGGTCAATCAAAACAAAAATTTTAAACAAGCTCGTCTATCAAAGATTTGCAAAGCAAGAGAAAACTCACTTTACTAACGCATCTAGAAGCACAAAGCCTACATGCCACACATAACATGCCGGGGTAAAACGTACCTTAAGCCACGTAGCAAGCTGCTACGAGGTGGACCTTAAGTGAATGTCGGTGCTTCTTGCTGCAGGCGGTGCCCAAGGCACATACCTTCTCTTGGCTTGAGTATCTGTCTTCAGGATGACTTGTTCTTGTTATACCCGGGGCGTGGGTAGTGGTGGTGGTGGTTGTGGTGGAGAACGTGAGAGGGGGCTGTACAGTGGTGGTGGAGTACAGTGGTATCCTAGGTTCATGAGTGGACTTTTGATAGTAGTGTTTGAGGATAGTTGCACGTTGCTGGTGACTGTGTGTGTTGGTGAATGTGGTGTTGGCGAGGTTGTTGGTGTTGTTGGTGAGGCTGGTGTAGGTGGTGTTGGTGTAGGTGGTGCTCGCGAGGCTGGTGTAGGTGGTTGGCGAGGCTGGTGTAGGTGGTATTGGTGAGGTTGGTGTTGGTGAGGCTGGTGTAGGTAGTGTTGGTGAGGCTGGTGTAGGTGGTTGGCGAGGTTGGTGTAGGTGGTTGGCGAGGCTGGTGTAGGTGGTTGGCGAGGCTGGTGCAGGTGGTTGGTGAGGCTGGTGCAGGTGGTTGGCGAGGCTGGTGTAGGTGGTTGGTGAGGCTGGTGTAGGTGGTTGGTGAGGCTGGTGTAGGTGGTTGGTGAGGCTGGTGGTGATTGGCGAGGCTGGTGCAGGTGGTTGGTGAGGTTAGTGCAGGTGGTTGGTGAGGCTGGTGCAGGTGGTTGGCGAGGCTGGTGTAGGTGGTTGGTGAGGTTGGTGTAGGTGGTGCTGCCGAGACTGGTGTAGGTGGTGTTGGCGAGGCATGTGTTGGCAATGGAGGTGAAGGCTGTGCTGGCGAGGCTGGCGTAGGTGGTGTTGAGGGTGTGGGTGGTGTTGACGAGGGTGTGGGTGGTGATGACAAGGGTGTGGGGTGATGATGATAATAGGCGTGCAGTTCCCGTAGACATCCACCCACCACCACCACCTCCGATACTACCATGGCAATATCATCAAATTCAACCATAGTCCTCAGGATAACAAGGCAAGCAGCGTACACGTCGGCCAGAGAAGCGGAGTTATATAACAAATTCGCAAGACACAGTAACATATCAAAAAACTCATCCTGCAAACACAAGCTCAACGTCTCTAAAACATCCAACATTGCAGCATCCTAACTGCTTGGCTAACTTTAAATGGCATCATACCACGTTATAAAAAGCAAAAAAAAATATAATAATAAACTCCCTGAAAGACAAAATTAAGTTACTGAAATAAAAAACGGCTAAAATGAAAGAAATTTTGGACTTAGCAACTAAAGCAAAAAGTTCCTTAGCAAGAAATTAATAATTCCACTTAAATGTCTTAGAAATCTATAAACATGCTATGACTAAACAAAACAAAGTATAGCAATTAGAATACTGCAATTAAGCAACCTGCATTCCTGGTCTCTCAATAACGTTAAAACTGAGAGTGATGAGACACAGAGCAAAACATGGAGCCTACAGTGGGTGGGTAGTGGGGGGGAGGGGAGGTGGAGCACTCCTAGAGCTTCGCTTCTAACGTAGATGAGGTTATTTTTTTGTTTTACAAACTCACTATGTCTCATCCACTTGGCCAGTCTTTCCGAGACTTGGGCCGGAGGATGAGAGCGAGTAGATGGACACGAGGGCGTAGGAGGGGAAGCGCGCAGTCACCCACCCACCGCGGCGGCCGCCGCTAGACTGACTCTGGGGGTCGCTTTTGAACTGCAGCTGCCGAGCCTCGGCCGGCCCCTAGCCTCCCCCCACCCCCGCTCACCCCCCTCCCATCTATCCCTCGCTGCCAAGTGTCGCCAACTTGTGCAAAAATCGCCCTTTTCGCCTCCCCTCTATCCCCATTCTACCCCTCTCTCCAACCCCTTACAATCCATTCATCCCCCTCCTTCCTCCTCTATCCTTGCCCGGTCCATCCCAAACCCTCCATTCATTCCTCTCCTATCCATTCTGTTTTATTCTCCCTACGCCCCATTCATCCGCTTCTATTCCCCATGCACTTGCTGTTAACCCCTCCCTTCCTCACCCATCTTTTCCTATAATACTCTTATCACATTTCTCCATTCACCCCATTCCCTCCCCATCCATCCACCACATCCATCCTCTACTCACCCTTCCTTCACCCCGATCCATCCCCTCTTCACCCCCCTTCCTCCATACCTTCATCCTACTCCTCTATCCCTCCCCTCCCTTTCCACTATCCCCCCTTCCTTTTCCCCTCTTCCCCTTCCCCTCTCCACCTCCCCCTCCTCTCTCAACTTTCCCACAATACAATTTTAAGACTTGTTAATTTGACATTATTTAACCGCCATGTTAAATAACGTAATACGTAACCCACCTTAAGACACCTTTAACTCACCTTAAGATACCCCAACCTTAAGTTACATTTAACCTACCTTGAGAGACCTTTAACCCACCATAGGGCACCTTTAACCCACCCTTTTGCACCTTTAACCCATCATATGCCACCTTTAACCCATCATATGCCACCTTTAACCCACCCTTTTGCACCTTTAACCCACCATAGGGCACATTTAACCCACCCTGGTGCACCTTTAACCCACCCTTTTGCACCTTTAACCCATCCTATGAAATCTTTAACCCCCCCCTAAGTCGCATTTAATAAACCAATGGACATCTTTAACCCACATTAATTCACACTTAACTTACCCCAAACACCTTTAACTCACCTTGAAGACCACCCTAGCCCACCTTGAAGACCACCCTAGCCCACCTTGAAGAATACTCTAGCCCACCTTGAAGACCACCCCTAGCCCACCTTGAAGACCACCCTAGCCCACCTTGAAGAATACTCTAGCCCACTTTGAAGACCACCCTAGCCCACCTTGAAGACCACCCTAGCCCACCTTGAAGACCACCCTAGCCCACCTTGAAGAATACTCTAGCCCACCTTGAAGACCACCATAGCCCACATTGAAGATCACCCTAACCCACCTTGAAGAATACTCTAGCCCACCTTGAAGACCACCCTAGCCCACCTTGAAGACCACCCTAGCCCACCTTGAAGAATACTCTAGCCCACCTTGAAGACCACCATAGCCCACCTTGAAGACTACTCTAGTCCACCTTGAATACTTTAGCCCACCTTGAAGACTAATCTAGCCCACCTTGAAGACCACCCTAGCCCACCTTGAAGATCACCCTAGCCAACCTTGAAGATCACCCTAGCCAACCTTGAAGAATACTCTAGCCAATCTTGAAGACCACCATAGCCCACCTTGAAGAATACTCTAGCCCACCTTGAAAACCACCCTAGCCCACCTTGAAGACCACCCTAGCCCACCTTGAAGATCACCCTAGCCGACCTTGAAGAATACTCAAGCCCACCTTGAAGACTACCCTAGCCCACCTTGAAGAATACTCTAGCCCACCTTGAAGACCACCATAGCCCACATTGAAGATCACCCTAACCCACCTTGAAGAATACTCTAGCCCACCTTGAAGACCACCCTAGCCCACCTTGAAGACCACCCTAGCCCACCTTGAAGAATACTCTAGCCCACCTTGAAGACCACCATAGCCCACCTTGAAGACTACTCTAGTCCACCTTGAATACTTTAGCCCACCTTGAAGACTAATCTAGCCCAACTTGAAGATCACCCTAGCCAACCTTGAAGAATACTCTAGCCAACCTTGAAGACCACCATAGCCCACCTTGAAGAATACTCTAGCCCACCTTGAAAACCACCCTAGCCCACCTTGAAGACCACCCTAGCCCACCTTGAAGATCACCCTAGCCCACCTTGAAGAATACTCAAGCCCACCTTGAAGACCACCCTAGCCCACCTTGAAGACCACCCTAGCCCACCTTGAAGCCCAATCTAGCCCACCTTGAAGAATACTCCAGCCCACCTTGAAGACCGCTCTAGCCCACCTTAAAGACCACTCTAGCCCACCCTGAAGACCACTCGAGCCCACTGAATGTATAATTCAAGGTGGCGATCACAGTGTACGTTCTACTGCTACTTAACCCACTCCATCATACACTGCAGCCCACCAATACCGCCCCACCCACACAGCTCACCCCCCCCTAACCACCCCTTCCACCCACACCCCATTCCACACTAACAGTTCCTTCCCCTAACCCCCCACACCCTTCACCCCTTCCAATCAACACCTATCCTCAGTGCACCATCTCTCCCTAACCCCATGTCACCGTACACCCCTTCCCATTTCCACGTTAACCTCCCTCCCCTCCCTACCCCCTTCAATCTTTCCTCGTCACCACCACCCACATACAACGAGGTGGGCGAGCAGTAATGTGGAACGTTCATATATGAACGTTGCAATAGAAGACACACAAAAATACCCTTAAAACACCCATTACCCATCCCCGTGGCCTGGTGGCTAAAGCTATCGCTTCACACAGCGAGGGTCTGGGTTCGATTTCCAGCGAGGATAGAAATATTGGTTGTCTATGTTCACCCATCAGTAAAATGGGTACCTGGGTGTTAATCGAATGGTGTGAGTCGCATCCTGGGACAAAACTGGCCTAATTTGCCCGAAATGTTCAGCATAACAAGCGGCTTTCTATATAGTAGTATGTCACTGATGTCAGCTAGGCCTGTATACCTTGTACATGTACTTGTAATAAGATACCTTATTATCCTGTCTTGTACACCCATACCCATCCCAGACGCGTTACTACCCAGCCCTTTATTCATCCTTAACCAACATCTACTCATTCCTACCCACCTATTAACCTCTACTTACTACTTTACTCATTTTTATCTATCCTATCTACGCATTGATCTTCACGCACTTAATTCATAATTAATCACGTCTTACTCAATATTTTACTCATTCTTATCCATCCTACCTACCTACATATTCATCCTTACCTACTTGACTCATCATTTATCCAGGCTTAGGCACTTCAAGATGGTGTATTATAACGGCCCTTGGTAGTCGGTGCCCAGTGCCACCACTCACAGAGCCACCTCTCACAGTGCTAGGAGGTACAGACCTCATAAGACAAACAACAGTAGTTACGACAACCCCACTCCACGTGATTTTCTAGTGGCAGGAAACGAAGAAAGAAAATGGAAAGAGAGAAAAATAGTCCACCACCTTGGAGCTCTTTTAGGCTGGAGGCACAGCCAGTGCCCCCCCCCCCCATGGCCCTCCAGAACAACAACTACTGATGCCAATAACAAAATCCCCCAACACAAAATACAACCTCGTTTATATTTGCTAATATAAACGATAGCCTTAAGCCATCCACCAACAAGAAAATACTTTTTATCAGTGGACTTCTAGAGGAGTCAAATGCAATGTTTGCAGCCTTCACAGAGACCCACACAAAAGACCACTTTGACAAAGAAATATGGATAAATGGGTACAACCTTTTTAGATGTGACAGAAAGAACAGGCAACAAGGGGGGTTAGCCTGTATGTCAAAGAGTCGCTCATCTGCACAGAGACGCTGAACACCACAAATGTAGTTGAAGTTCTAACAATAGAGATCGAGAACCAAAACCTAGTCATTGTTGTTGTATATAAGCCACCAGATGCAACCTCCCAACAGTTCAAGGAACAGGTACTGAAAATTGATTACTGTCTGGAAAACCTTCCAGCTCCATCCCCAAACATCTTACTGCTTGGTGATTTCAACCTAAGGCATACAAAATGGAAGAATGTAGCAAATAATGTTATAGCTGAAACAATCCCCGGAGGTAGCGCAGATGAAAGGTCACACACACATGAGCTACTAAGTCTCTGCGAAAAACACACCTTAAGCCAGCAAATAGTGGAGCCAACAAAACTGGAAAACACACTTATCTTTACAAAAAATGAGGACCTGGTTAGAAAAAAAAAATCCAATCACAATCTAATCGAAGTTCAGGCTTACATGCACAGGGGTCCTGATCAGCAAAATGCACATACCTGTGAAGGTGTCTTTACCAAATACGACTTCAACAAGAACATCAACTGGGAGCAGGTGAACCATATCTTAAATGAAACGTGTTGGGAAGATGTCTTAAACAATATGACTCCAAACCAGTGCCGTGAAAGGATCAACTCCTAGCAGCTGAAGTGTGTTCAAGACACATTCCCCTAACAAAGAAGTAAACTGGACAGAGAAAGACGCTCCCTCTACAGAAGACCACAAAGAATCACTGAGCTCCTCAAGAACGCTAGATTATCTGATACAAAAAAGGAAGTGCTGACCAGGGAAGTGGAAAGTATCGAACTTAAGATAAAGGAGAGATAGGAGACAGGAGCTAAAAGCGATTAGTGAAACTGAATGAAATTCGAAATATTTCTTTTCATATGCCAAAAACAAGGCTAATACCACATCCAGTATTGGGCCCTTACTCAGACAAGATGGGACTTACACAGATGACAACAAAGAAATGACAGAGATACTGAAATCCCAATACGACTGTGTGTTTAGCGAACCACTAGTCTAAAGATCGACAATCCATATGATTTTTTTCCATGAGCCTCAAAACTCCATCAATGTATTGCCAAATTTCTGATATTACCCTAACTCCGATAGACTCTGAGAAAGCCACCCCTTTCGCGTGCCCTAAGTATACTATGCAGAAGGACAGAAGGAGCTAAGACATGGGTGAAATTCCAGTCACTAAAAACAATGGATATAGCCCCACTCCATAAAAGTGGCAGCAAAGCCACTCTTTAAAAGAGGCAAAAAAGCCTTTGCAACCCT